CATCGTTCACGAAAGGAGCGTCAGCTCTCCTTTCCAGACCGCAATGTAACATGGAAAATCCAGTCTCAGTGTGTACAAAGAAGAGAGAAACCCAGTCGCGACCATTCGGTGCCTCCGTCAGACTGATGCGACTCACATTACATGCTTGACGAAAACTTTCTCAATAGATCGGAAGAAGCATGACAGTTCTTAGTTAGATGCAGCCCAGAGACATGGTCAACGTAGTGGTGTTTACATTGGGATGCGCCCTCCATGGGTTGACTAAAAACGATCATCATTCGTGTGCTGATGGCTGACATAGTACATTGGCTAACTTTGAATAAAGTGACTCCAGCTTTTGAGCGCTGACACGAACGCGACCCTTTAGGATGACAAACAACATCCTCCCTGAAGTCAACGCAGCTGTTAGCTCCCTCGACTACGACACAGTGCTCCTACATGAAAGTTATTAAGAGATACGTCGAAAAACCTCCACCTTTCAAAAGCTTTCAAGCCTTGCAAGATTCTACAAAGCCATTACACCCGTCTGCAGAAACCTAAGGCTGCATTATACTTTGCGGCAGCGTAGCGCAGCGCTTCCAACGTACGCCAGCGGCAGTGCCGGGGAAAGAATGGATATCAATCTAGCGTTCCCGGCATCACCAGCGTAACACTGGCGTACGCTAGCGTTACGCCAGCGTTTCTCCAGCGTTTCGCCAGCAGCGGCAGGGGAGTAGAGACTATGGGAGAGCTAGAGGGTACAAAACACATCGATTGCGCGTCTCTGACCGCCACATAGTCTCTACAATACACATCGATACCGCGTCTCTGACGGCCTCATAGTCTCTACTCCCCTGCCGCTGCAAACGCCAGCAAAACGCTGATGAAACGCTGGCGACACGCTGGCGTAACGCTAGCGAACCCTAGCGTTGCGCTGGTACGCTGGGAATGCTAGATCGATATCCATCCTCTCCCCGGTACTGCCGCTTTCGTACGCTGGAAGCGCTACGCTACGCTAAGCTGCCGCAAAGTATAAACGCATCCTAAGAGAACACTCGTTGATCAGGTGCTCAAAATATTTCCTGTTCTGCTCCGGAGCAATATGTTCAAAGCGTCGCGGAATCAGGGTATGTCATTTTAGGGGATTCTCCAACACCTACTGCTTGCTCCTATTCAACGAAGGGGTGCATTTTAGGTGCATTTCTGAATATCCGGATATGTTCGCTTGAAACGGTACACAGAAAACGGATTTTTCGAGCAGCTAGGAGTGCTCCCTACAAATCCCCAACGCAATTGCCTAATAAATCTCGGAAAATTAAGAAAAAGTTTAAGGAGCGAATCTTCTAGCATTGGTTTCACATTTGCAAACTGTTCAGTTCAAGGAAAATATCTTCGTTCAAACAAGGACAGTTCGCATGCATCCCAAAGATCCTCAACCTGAATTTCTTCCTGAATTGACGACTTTCATGAACATCTCACTACTTTTCGGGAAGCTCGCATCTTTCTCTGCACGACTGCTCTTTTCCCTTTCCCATAGGTCCGCTTTTGAGGAAGTAATAGCCCTCCAAAACACCCTGTTTCCTGGAAATCCGCGCTTCATTGCAATCACCTTGCAGACACCTTGCGGCGTTGGATCCTGTCCAAAATCCCTTCTAATTGATTCCTCGGCCGTTTTCCAGCTGAATGCGGATGTTCCTGTGTCCTTTTCATTTTACTGTTTTTTATTGTTTTGCTTTTTTTTGTTTTCTAATGCAGATATCATCTCCCACTGGTGAGCCAAACGATTAATCCGTACTGAGACGTTGTTCGCCATTTCCGAATTTTTGTATTTCTCCCAATTCCGTTCCTTTCTTAAATCGATACATATACGCTGTACTGTCCGCAGTTTCACCTTTTCTTCCAAGTTGTCAAGCATGAATGCGACCTTAGGCTTCGTAGGGGGGAGGAGGATCAGCACATTCGCTATATCAAATCCTTGTACTGATTGCTACATTAAAGTTGGCAGGTATTCCTCCAAACTTTGAGTGGTATCACTTTATGTCTTTACAACTTATAGTTAGAGCCGTCATATAGTATGCCTAGCTCGAGCTAAAAAAACAAAGAGTAGAAAAAAAAGGGGGGTCGTAGTGCTCGACCAAAGTCCCCAACTAATGCTGTGCCCTGCGCGGAATTTTCCCAATCTCACAGAAAACGTTAAACCTTATCATCCAAGACCATGCACCGGCGGAAGGTTAAAAGCAAACTCCCTTAGCAAACTATCAGTCATTATATCTTGGAAGAACCAAAAATTGACATTGTAGCCTGAGTGGGAGGAATTCTTTCAACTTCTAGCACGCTATAGCGAATGACTGACATCGATCATAATCATCACCACAATTGCACGACTGAGGGGTCGCACTTGATGCAGAACGGCTAAATCTTTCCATTCAGAAGCCTTCAGAGTCATAAGAGAAAATAGCAGAGAGAGGCCAGCTATCAGCTTTTGAACTACGGTTCATGAGTTGTTTTTCATAGCTCGGCCATTGATCATTCCACACACGCCGAATCCTTTCCACTGTCTTTTTGCTGGGGACTACAGTAAGAAGATGACATTTACGATAATTTCATCAGATGTATTGTTAGAAGAAGAAAAGCAGCGGTACCTTCTATTTTCTTTTTGATTTTTTTACTGCTTTCTCATTCTATTCTACTTCCCGTTAGATACGAAACCACTTTTCATTCCCAAACATTGGAATTGCCCAGCTCCCTACCTTGCTCTTTTCTCTACTATCGTAAGTCTGCAAAATGGTGGAAGCTCACTTGTTTTTCAGAAAGAATGGAGTTCCACTGCATACTGCGCGACCTAGGCTCATGATGTACACAAAATCACCCATAGCTTCAGCGTCATCCATGTAATGCGTTGATAACAGAATGCACCTGTCATAGTTTGCTGAGTTTAACTTCACAGTGCATTCAAGTTGAGTTCATCAAAACTTCAGGTAAATCACATCCACAATGTTTGGGATCGAAGCCATCCCTCGTATTTGACACTGCTTGAACTGAAACTTGTCAAGTCCACCGATATGTTAAGGTGACAGTAACCCCTTCACAAGACTCCAGCCCACGTTTAGAAGAACTCCTTTCATGATACGCCTTCAAACTTGCCTTTGTCATCTTCATCATCTTCGATTCGGATTTTGCAGCATGAGCTACACTTCGAATGCTATCCGCATCAGGAGTTTGCGTTTGAATTGTATTCGAAAGAGCTACAAAACTTGGCAAAGTGCCAGGAGCGCGACAAGCGGCGGGTGAACGGCGGTCGCTATGAACGGTGTTATATAGCAGCGGCGTCCAGCATGTCTCTGCCGCATGTTGCATTTTAGGCGGAGCATGGAGGAATTAGCCTACCCCACGGATGTCCCCATCGCCGCGCATGTTTTGGCGGGGAAACCGCTAGCCTCGACAGCTGGTGGATCGTTAGCCTCGGACGCGCCTCGCTGAGCGTACCCTGTGTCTTTAAGAGGAAAAGATTGCTACCACACGAGAGTGTTAGCTCGTTTTGAACAAGGAATGTTGCATTGCCTCCGTATAATAACAGGTGATGAGAGGACGCGCGTCACTTCTGTACGTCTGCAGTGTTGCAGCTCTTCTGAGGTGTAGGCACAAAGATCATTTGCTAGGAGACACTCATTTTGGCTGATTCTACTAGGTTTTCTTGTGAATATCCAGAATGCTTCGGAACCAGTCTCCGCCGTCAGACTTATGCACCAACAAAGAGAACATCGGATCTATTACTGCACCGTAACGCTCCTCATCTTTGAAGACCGACATCGCAGTTGCCAGTTTTTGGTAAGATAGAAGAAAAAAAATGAGGGACGCCAGTGAGAGAAAAGCATAAAAAGACTAGAAACACGAAACCGGATCCCTCATTAGAAGAGATCCCCTGCCTTGCCTAGATTTGCTTATTTCTGCTGTATTATAAGAAATTTAAAAACTTATTTAGGTCGAAATTTCCCTCCACCACTGAATGTTCTTCAACAAAAGCAATGAACGATCATGGATGTTTGTAATGAACTAGCTCAAAAAATTGCGGTGAGAACTAGCGAACATTTGCATCAGCAAAAAGACTGATGTAACGTCAGTACGCATCATACCTTGTGGGGTGGTTTGCATTTCACAGCAAGTGTTCCTTCCCAGAAAGGCAAGTAAAGGGAAGGTGACGCCTCGCATTTGCTCAATTGGGTGAGAGGCTACAGGAGCAGGAATCGCTTGTACTCGCAGACTCCCCACTGAAGAGGGCCGCAGCCTCATGAACATGTCGCAGTAACAGTACAGTTAGGAGTAGTGAACGATACGATTACGAAATTCCAGAAAGTTAGACATGATTACGAAATTTCTTTGGGTAGTGTTGAGGCACGGTACGCTGTCGTCGTGGGAATCGCAACGTGGGGGCGTGCCTGACCGTAAAGGAGAGGGGATCGTGAGAACAAAGCTCATTCGGGAAAGCAGCAATACTAAGATGTCCTAAATCAGTGGCTGCTAAAAGATCTATCCATGGTTTTTGTTGAGGAAGATACGGAGATACATCTGAAGATAGAGGCAAGAAGACGCGAACTGCGAGCTAGCGGGAGCTGCAATGACAAGGAATACGGTAGACGCCCACGGGGAGTCATTAGTTAATAAATAAACGAAGCACGGTATACACTTCATAGCCGAAGGAGCCAACCTGATTGCCCGAAAGACCCTTACCAAGAGCTTTTCACCTTTACAACACCTTTGCGTGAGATGGCCCAATACAGGGATGTCAATCGGCGCCGAATAAACTACTTCCTAATACCCTCCACAAAAAAATGCGTTCAGGAGTCTAATAATGTCTTCAAACAAACTAGATATGATACTGCGCAGGAGGTGTGGATGTTTCGGGTCGTTGGGGCTTGTCAAAAACGAGGCAAGCAGAGAGGCTTATTTTATGTATTCCTGCCGTTTCTTTGGCTTTCTTCACTTTAGACACAAGAGCACCTACTCTTTTGCTTATGTACTCCTCACCTAGGAATTATTATCACGGAGTATATCCTCGAGATAGCGCTCACCTCTCTTGCTTTTGTTTTATGATGAAATCTGCTACAATTCTCCTGGATTGCGGATCCATTCCAGCTGTTGGCTCGTCTAGCACCAAGAATTTGGATCCTCCGACAAATGCCAGTGCTAGGCACAGTTTCCTTTTTTCGCCGCCAGAGAGTTTCGAAGACAGCTTAAGGTGAGAAGATTCACATACTTACATGTAGAATGAATTGAGTTTTCGAAATTGTATCACTTGCCTTTTTTCTTAAGCTTTGCATGCCAACAGAAGAGCAGAGCTCATCCGCATCTACTTTCCATCCACCACCTCCTTTCAGCTTAGAGAAAAACCAAAAATGGTCGTTAACGGTCAAGTGCTCGAAAATGCAGTTAAACTGTGGACAGAAACCCATGCTTGAACGACAAGAAGACAAGTTTGTTTGGAGGTTTTGACCAAATATTGTTATAGATCCTGTTAAATATTCACATTATTCTACGAACACTGCAGCCACAGTGATCACACCTAAATCGATTACTCGAACCATTGTGAAATACTTGCCTGTTGTCATATTTGTTGTACCACAAATCATACTATATGTCGTGCTTTTGCCGGCTCCATTATGCCCGAGAAGTACCGTGACCTTGAAGGCAATGAGTAGCAGCATGATGCACTTATCAACAACAATTTCTGTCTCGATGAAACGGAACAGATGAACATATTGTTCCACCAAAATAAGAACTTCGAATAAGCTCATTTTTTGGGAACTTGTACTACCTTACATTCTCAGATCTAGTATATTCATGCAGGAATAAGAAGACCGCTATCTAACGGCTCGAGAATTTGTTAGCTTACGCAAGAACAGAAATTTAAGCCAGTAGATCTGTTGATTGTCAGGATTAGATGTGTGAAGCGCATCACTCCAATAAGTCCTTCTAGCAAATCATTCTGTCATGCTGCTGTGATTACCTATAAAACTATCACCAAACGACCTTTCAGCCCTTTCTCCTATACATCACTCCGATGTCGAGATGGAAGAGCATTCTGCGAACAAGCAGACTCATGGAGAAGATAGTTTATTGCGACCACAGAGAAGCTGCTCAGATTGACACCTTGACGACGATGGGAGACAGTGGTAGCTGAGAGACATTCTGTCTCGTGAGAAATGTCAGACAATTTTGACTGTCGCCATATTGTTCTAATTATAAAGAAGAACGAACAGGCAAGCTCGCTGAAAACGTGTCCTCATGGGTGACCTGTCTCTCTGAAACCAGTTTCACAGTCGCTTGGCAAGAACTGCTTGGCGCCCACGCTACACGCGCTAAAGCCAAAATGCTCTAGGTCATCAAGTTCGCTAAAAACATGTCTCCTAGACTAGTTCGCCCTTCCCCGTGAACAAGAGTATCGTATCCGTTTATTGCGTTGACGACTACCTCCGTCAGTGGTAGACGACATCCAGTTTGTCTTCTGGGACAGCGCCACCCAATGCTAAAAGACAGTTATATGCAGCTCAAATCTGATTATTAGAAAAATTGGTTCAAGAACATTATTGGAAAAATTGGTTCAAGAACAAATAGTTTCAGGCCAAGGAGATGTGATACTGGTCTTTGGGAGGCCAAGCTATTTCGGGAGACAAATTTTCAGCCAAATCCGTCTTCAGAGGAGAGAATTAGTAGAAAATGTACTGATTTCGGAAGACTGGAACCATAAAAGCTGAATTGCCTCAAAAATAGTGATTTGTATACCCTTCTCTTGCATTTCTTGACACATTTTGACCGCAGTCATCCATTTGTTCAAAAATTACTGAGTTTTAACAGAGAAAAGTGCGCCGTCCCACGCGCAAGTTATGAGAAAAATGGTCGTCGTCAACGTATTAATAGGAGAACCACTTTATACTATCGAATAACTGAGCCTAGCTCGTAAGGATGCGATTCATCCGTGCTCAGGTCTCTCTCGAGACGGATGTGTGTACGCGGAGTTGGTGTGCAGCATTGAGCTGGGATTTTAGCCATATCTGTACAACGACCGTTCTCTTCTACCGAAAAAAATTGCGCATTACGACCGTTCACGAATTCCCCGAAGAAGCGGAAGAGTATGCACTGAGCCTCAATCGTTGGTATGCGCGCTAGGCTAGCAGGGAAATAAAATAGCTGAGGTTCTCGCCGCGAATCATTTCCTCTATCATGCTTTGTATCATTTCCTGAACCATTGTCTTACTGCGACGCATGCTATGAATTTCGTGACATAAACACGTCACTCCTCTTCATTACGGACCTGTCGGGGCGTATCGGCCGGAAGGAGTGCGCACACTGTTTGAAGCCATTCTCAGCCTTTTCATTGAAGCGCGTATGCGACAAAAAGTGGTAGAAAACGAGTAATACGAAGGATCTAATGCTGTTATGTCCCATTTGATCGCTTCAACAACTGTTGCAAGCAAGACATTTGGAACCGCGGAAAAGCGCAGCCGCACTGACCCGCCCCGACAGTCCGTAATGATGAGGAGTATACATAGCGAACGTTATATATCAAGGATGAATTGGTGCCGCGTAGCAAACAGTTTCCACGTTGAGATTCAGTGATTGGAAACCTCCTCATATCGACGCAAAAGACTTCATCAGAATTTCCGTGATTTCAGCGTATTGTCCGTTCTGGAACCAGTCGGATCGCCAGCTGTTTGAGCTCTCCAACATTTACGTCACGGTGCCTGGCATCGTTACGCGCTCTTGCCTCAGGCTAGCTGTTCAAATGTGAGACGGCTGCACCGTCCCATAAATCACCGCAAGTTCAAGGAAGCAGCGTAACAGGGCCTTGTTACTTCAAACAGCACTCCAGGCATTCAAGTGTTCAACGACAGATAGATCAACTGCTGATCTTGGTTATATTGAGTTCGAAGAACTTCACACACTGAGCCTCTGATACTTGGCATTATAGTGATGAGAAGCGTTGAGAAATGTAGCGAAGAAAGCCTCTTTAACATCCTCATCGATGGTATAATCACCTGTCACCCGTCATCGATAACGCTGAATCGTTATAATAAGACAGTGTAAAAGCTCCACCACCTTGGAGACGACGCAGCCATGACCAGTTATTAAAGCTCTTTGCCATCAACCGCTGATGTCTCTTTCTCACCCTCTAGATTACCTGCTAGAAACAATGCTTATATTATCAGCTCTTAATACTCCTTGTGACTCACATAATGGTACGGTATACTCTGCATCATATCGTGGAATCACTGCTGGAACCTGCGCAATGAATTTGGTGACTCTCCCTTTCCAACCCCATTATCAAATCTTCTTTCTTACAACTTTTGTTACCCACCCGTGATGTTCCTGTCCCACACCCTATATCGTAACTTGGAACCAACGTTTTACCATGGCTAAAACCTGTGCTATGAATTTGGTGACAGACAGACAGACAGAGAGACAGACAGACAGACAGAAAGACAGACAGACAGACAGACAGACAGACAGACAAACAGACAGACAGACCCGCAAGCACAAACACACACCGACAGCCGTTTATATAGTGAGATGCCAGAGGTGCCAAAGAACTGCGGAAATATTCAGGTCTTCTCTATTCTGTTCAACGGGAAAGCAGAAGGCCTACCCATGACGAGAACCCATGTTGCTGCAAAGTTTATTCGAAGTTTATGTAAAAAGTCGCAACATAAGACACGTACATCTCCTGTATAAGCTTTCATAGACAAATCTTTCACGGCAACTTCGCCTGTGCTTTCCCATACTTTGCTCACATTACTAACTACCAGTGCTGCTTCACTGCTTCTTTCCCCCACATCTTCATGCCATGACTCCTTCGTTTGATATTCATCAGTGTTGTGCTGAAAAGTTCCCAGTAAGCATCTGTAAAACTCACCTCGAAAGAAGTAAACTCTTGGACCTGAAGGCGCACTCGCCTGCGGGTTGAAGCAAGTACCAGCACGAGGCCGTTCAGCGCAAGGATAGATGAACAACAGGAATGAATGATGTCGATAACCATAGCAGGAAAAGAGGATTACAAGAAGGGATTGTTGTTGTGGTACATAATCCAGGAGGACAGGAGGCGAGCCGGACCCACCGCGGGACCATGCCCTCAGAGTTGCTATCTCACTGTTCCCTGGGAAGCGGAACCTATACTGTTCGGGAAAGCATAGTACAGCAGCGAGGAACCGTGGGTCAGAGGTGAGCGCTGGTGAGCCACGATGCTCGTGAAACCTATTAGTCGTGGTAGAAGATTAATGGAAACCTGATACGCGACTCTGAGCCATATCAAAGAAACCATAAGGAAAAAATTCAAATAAGTGAAGTGATTTCGAATAAGGCAACAGATGCTGACAGGACCTGAATGTGCAACATGTCGAGCTCGAGCTTGAGCTTGAAACATTGGCAAACTTTACACATAATCGTTTTCCACCCACCTTCTCATCTCATACCCCCACAATTCTCAAATCTGCTTCTGGAAACTGGAATGTAATTTTTCGAAGGGAGCTAAAAAGCTATTCTCCTGTGTCTCGTTGAAAAGAGGTCATACGATCCTCTCTTTATAGGCATGATTTACATGCCTCCTGCGCGGGGCAGGGCTAAAAAACACTGACCTTGCTGTAGCACCTGCATTCACCTACACTAGCTTGCACTAAGAGCTTGCCAGTAGCTGCATGTATGCGTGGACGTTTTGTAACTTGGAATTGCTCAGGCGTACATGTACTCGAACAATAGTTTCTGCACCAAGTATGACGACGTTGTGCTTCTACAGGAGGTCACACTATTTCTAAATACAAATTTCCAACCAAAATCTGAGTGTTGAGTTAGTTTCGAAGAAAAGAGTATTTATTGAGTGCAGTCCTCGTCCATCCACTATATTTGAAGACAGCTCCGCGCTTATGAAATTCGTGGTCGGCCTTCCTTTCGCAAGTACTACTGCCCAAAAGTTCAGAGACTGTGTCACATTCGCCACTGCAGAGGGAGCGGGGAGCATGCTACAACCGCCGGAAATTCATTTCTAACACCCGCTTAGCGGACCGCCCAAACGAACGTCCTATACACACCTAACGGGGGCGCCCAGTTTTTGTTAGCTGTAGTGTTCCTTTTTGCCGACCGCGCTCGTGCTCATGAGCAATTCTGCCCTCCTTTATAACATTTTCTTTATTAGGAGCACAAACTGTCAACAGTCAATAAGATAAGAAGTGTAAAAATCACCAGTGATGCAGCGTTTCTGGTGCAAAAGCTCGATGCGCTCAACAAAATGTACGCTACTGAAGCCTCGGTTTGTATGTGCCTTCAGAAGTTCCTTTCTGTCATGAGTGTTTCGCCATTTTTTTGTTGTGCTTTTTCCTGCATTGAATGATGTTTACCACTGGGAAGTACGAAGAGAAACTTGTGAACCAGGTATTTCACAGAGACTGCAAGCCGGCGAGACTGTCAGAAAGAGATTTTGTTTACGACGTTTCTGATAATTTTGTTTTCTTTTTGCTTTTTTCTTTCTGCGGGGAGCCACCTAACAGCTAATGGTTAATAAGTGAACAGCAACTATCCATCTTGATTGCGGGAACAGTCTTTAGGTCCTTCTCTGCAGAGCAAGCATCTTCCCTTCTGCTGTTTTGATCACCTGACATTCATCGTGCAATTACATCATTGCACTCGGAATATAAGGTCACATCGCTCACGAAGGCGA